CCCCCCCAGATATTTTCAAACTATAAACTTAAAATAATGTATTTATTTAAATCAATAAGAAATCTAAATAGCATGCATTCAATATCTCTTGGATGTTAGGTTGGTTGCATAAAGCGCATGTACTCCGTGAACATAGTTCTGATTAATGCAATCTGCCATCTATGATCGTACCAAAGAGTTATGTTTAACCGCGCGCGCAATCCCTACTCCATCGCGGACCGTGAAATCTGAGCCCATCGTGCAAGCATATTTTTACATACGATTGGACAAATTGGTACGTGGAGAGGATAGGCGACGATAGGCTCGCGCGCTTTGTTTTGGGACTCCATGAGGCAGTAACCCGTATCACTGAAGTGTGGTTATACGTGTTTTGTTTTTGCTTTGGCGCTTTTTAAGACATTATATTTTATAAGTTTAAATTTAAAATGACGGTTTGTGAAATAAAAAAACTTGTTATTAGTAATTTAAGTTTAGAGGAAAAAGTCGAATTGAAAAATAACGGACATCCAACGCCAGTGTTGAATTTGCAGAAAGAGTGCAAAAAGTGGGCCGGCTTTCGCAAATTTGATAAAAACATTTATAATAAGACCCTGTGGTTGTGACCAAACAAATAGATTTTTTTGTTGTTTGGAGGAGGCGAAGAAAACTGGACGAAAACTGGAGTTTCTGACTTGAAACATTTAGAAATTAAAATTAAGAAACATGAAAATTCTCCTAAACACAAAAACAAGTTGGTGAGTTTTTTACTTTTAGGAAGAGTAAATATTGCTTCTTATTTAAATAGGGCCTATGCAGAACAAATAAATAGTAAATAGTCATAACGAAACAGTTAAGAAAAATCGATTGCGTCTTTCAAAAATTTTAAATATCTTAAAACTATGTGGTACATGTAACCTTTCTCTTCGTGGAAATAATTAAAAAAGTGACTCGGTAAACAAAGGGGTATTTTTAGAACTGATAGACTAATGTGCAAAAATTGATCCCGTTTTAGATAAACATCTTAGTGATGCTAATGTTTTTAAAGGAACTTCAAAAACTATACAGAATGAACTATTACAGTAATCTACGTAATTATATCCTAACTGGGTTGGTTGATCGATTATCCACTTCAGCCCCCACACGTTGAAATTTTATTTCTCGCATTGTATCTAAGTAGCTACTGTACACACTGACAGTATTCATTTTGGGATACTTGCAAAACACGATGACCTTCAGATTCCTTAAAATTTTTCGTCTGCGGCGCTAAGCGGGGGACTACCGCCCCCCACACCCCCCGCAGTTCTTATGATGTACGTCCTCTTTTCAAAATGTGCCCCCCTGTATTCAAACCCACGGGCCGCCACTGTTTGAAAGATATCCCATTGCCATTAAGGTTGCAAATCTATTTTATGCACGATGGTGCTCCACCCCATTTCAGTTTAGCTGCACGTGAATATTTGAACAATATCTACCCAATTCGCTGGATAGGTCGAGGAGGCATTCAACCCTGGCCCCCGAGGTCTCCCGACTTAAATTCGTTGGTTTTTTTCCTTTGGGGTCACCTCAAACATTTGGTTTATACGACTCCAGTGCAAACCATAGACGAATTAAGAAATCGCATTGTCGCATCCTGTGAAACAATTAGACACAGCCGGAATATTTGAACGGGTTCGCCAATCGATGTGTCGTAGGATAGATGCCTGTATTAGAGTTGAATATGCACATTTCCAACAACTGTTGTAACGCCTGTGTATGTAATAGTATATTACGTAATAAGTGTTGTAAAAAGCATTTTACGCACGAATGGAAAAGTTACGCACGACGCCGCGTAGCGGCGAGTGCGTAATTCTATGAGTGCGTAATTGCATTACGCCACGTATTACGTACTATACTTTACCTACGGCCACTACTTTAAATACTTAAAAACACACCGTCTGCGATCAATGCAAGATTCCTATTACGTCGTACGGTAAAAAAATCACACAGCTTGGTAAAATAATCGTACAGTTTTCCTAGCAACCGCCTAGCAACGGTCAATACAATACTGTTTATATTGACCGTTGCTTACAGTAGTGGTCGTAGGTAAAGTATTTTATCTACGACCATTACTGTAAATACTTAAAAACACACCGTCTGCAATCAATGTAAGATTCCTATTACGTACGGTAAAAAAATCGCACAGTTTTCCTAGCAACCGCCTAGCAACGGTCAATACAATACTGTTTATATTGACCGTTGCTAGGCGGTTGCTAGGAAAACTACGATTTTTTTACCAAGCTGTGCGATTTTTTTACCGTACGTAAAATAGGAATCTTACATTGATCGCAGACGGTGTGTTTTTAAGTATTTACAGTAGTGGTCGTAGATAAAGTATAGTACGTAATACGTGTTGTAATGCAATTACGCACTCATAGAATTACACACTCGCCGCTACGCGGCGTCGTGCGTAACTTTTCCATTCGTGCGTAAAATGCTTTTTACAACACTTATTACGTAATATACTATTTCATATCATTGCTGTTTGTTAAAAAATTGTTCTTATGTTTTTGTTAATATTAATTATTTAAAAAATATTATTTAGTGAGTTATTGTTTCTCAGCTTGTTACATTGTTTTTCCTTCAAACGTATTGTTAAGTTGATTAGTAAATAATTAAAACATTGAATTTCTATTTTTGTTTTCTACTTGCCTTTAGAATGTGCATATGAAAGGATATTAATTTTTTGCTCGAAAACGAAGCAAGATATCAAAAAAAGTAAAGAGACAAAAAAGTTATATTTTTAATCGCATAATTAGAAAAAATATGACACCTAAGAAAAAGCAGTGACGTGTCATATGTTTATTTATTAATATCAATAGAAGTGAGTCCCCGGACGCCGCTGGAATAGATAAAATAAATCAAATCACGTCAGAAGACGTCTACCGGTTTTATAAACAAACGTACCAAATTTCAAAAAATTCAGGGTTCTGCAGATATTAGTAAAAACCTTGTATTTTCTCTAAATTTCTACACCCTGTATCTTCGAAACGAAGCATTTTCGGACATAGGTTTATAGGAACTTTCTTTCTTATTTTTGGTCAAGGAAACTCCCTCTGAACTTTTTCGCAATATTAATGGGACACCCTGTATATACTTTACAGGGTGTCCAAAAACGGGTAACCGAATTATAGCTCGGGGCCTTTATAATCAAATAGACTGTATAAATCGGGAAAGATGAGATTTGACAACATTGCACGCCCTAGCTCCCAATTGGTTACACTACGAAAAAATTTTAAAAAAATTGTTTTCACCGCAGAATTTGAGAAAACACCTAATGATATGTGTCAAAGGTAACCTCCGTACGAATACGACCATGTACGTTTTTTCTAGTACAATTCGTACATTCATTTTTCAGTTTAATGTTGCATCCAAGTCCCGAAAGGGCTTAGTTTGAGCACATACCGTCCTCGGTCGAAATTTCGACCGGCTAAATTCCCTCAGTGCAACCGCCTGTTCGCGGGGCCCGACGAGAACCCGCACATAAGGCACCCACACGGAACGCAGCAGTTATTCGTCAAAATAATTAGTCTTACCTTAATAACAAGTTAAAATTGCCTAACACAATGAAAATAATACGGTACACCCATCTCGCACTTCCCTGGCACGTAGCCAGCGCGCGCGCGTCCCGTCCCGAAGCCGGTTTTCAGGTCTCGCGTCCACTGAAAACCCACCAGCTTTCAGTACTCCAAGATGGCGCACAGGGGTAAAAAGCTCTGTCTTGGTTCCGATCGACACAGCTACATATCTCGTATGGTACGTTTTTTTTTCTCTTTGAAGTCGTCAGTGTTGTTTGCTGTTTCTCGTGCATGATTTGATGTAGTTGTTGTACCGTTCGTGCCGTATTGATTTTTCGGTTATATAGGTGTTTTATTGATTTATTACAGTGGGTATATTCTGGTCTAATGTGTAGGGTGTCGGAAAGTTCAACAGTTGGGGTATACTTTTTTTTGGTCTTTTTTCTAGTAGTGTAGTTTTCTTTTAGATTTATGGCTTACGTTTTATCCCCGAATCGGACAAATTTTGGTCGAATCGGACTAACAAATTATTCCGCGACGCGATGTTTAACGAACTTAAACGGTTTTGTAACTAAATTCGCTCAAAATTAAACACTTTCTCGATGTTGGAAATAAAAATGGTGCGGGGACGTATTTTAAACACCGCACAAATTTTATAAATGCTTAAAACAGATATTAGTACATTTTTTGAGTTCAGATTTATGTTAAAATGCTTAAACGTAATCATGCGCCAGTAATATATCGCCGCTCCTTAAACCTATCAAAGTACATTACTTTTTTTGTACAGTTGCTCTGTAGCTTGAAGGTAATAGAGCGGCTATAAATCATTCTGCAGCTAAAGCATGGACCAAATGGTATTACCTCTTATGTTTGCAATTGTGTATTTGTAGCAAAATTTATCCCACTTCTGACGGGAGGTATTGACATTGGTGATATTGCGGAAACAACTACTTTACTGGCTAATGTCCCGACCAGTATTGAATTATATCCACGATATCTGGTAAACGCCAGGACCATTCGTCAACAAAGCCACCAGACATATACTGGTTTTGAACTTATTAGTTCTTATCAGTGTGCCTAGGTAAGATAACCAACGAAAGATCCAACTGTTTTTCATGTCAACTATTACAGACGTGTATGGGTGAGATATAATAAAAATAATAGAAAAATGCTACGTCTATAAATGGTCGCTGTTATTCACTGCCTAGGCCTTCAATACGGTCAAACTGTCAGAGAGCGACATGCTGTTTTGAGCGGACTATAAAAGCAAGAATTGTGTCGCCACTGGGCGAAACAATTTTTAACTGATGATATTGCGGGTAACTACTCTGCGGACTCACATTAGCCTCGCAATATCTACTAAATAGCCGGGTATCTACAGGGTCGGAAAGTCCCCATGGTTCATCGGCCGTTACGTGAGAGCGATAAAGAAAGTCATAGAAATCCGTGCGATAGAGAAAGATGGCTATAATGAAGGCGTCTAATAGTCACCGCCCATTTCGCCCTTCCACAACTAAGAAGTGGATCTTATTTGTGGAAGGGCGAAATGGGCGGTGACTATTAGAAGCCTTCATTATAGCCATCTTTCTCTATCGTACGGATTTCTATGACTTTCTTTATCGCTCTCACGTAACGGCGATGAACCATGGGGACTTTCCGACCCTGTATAGTTCAATAGTAATTAGGACATTAGTCTGCAAAGTAGGTGTTTGCGGCAATACACTAACGCAAACAATTAAAGGGTCAAAAGAATTTCCGAAAATTTTCCGTGATTTTTGACAGACTGTATTTAGGTGAAAAATGGTCGTGTCGGGAATTAAAAAAAAAACAATTTGAAATTCCAAGTCCACGAACTGGAAAATTTTTTTTCAGCTAAACCTTTGCATGGACCAGATAGCTTCAGCTTCAATTCAATTCAATTTCCTTTTTTTTTTTTAAATTTCGATACGACCATTTTTCATCGAAATATAGGATTTTTAATGAAAAAGGATCCTTTTGTCTTCAATCATCGATATCTCGGTGACAAATGGTCGTACAGAGAATTGAAGGGCAGTTTCGAAAACTGGAATAAATTTCCTATAACATGCTGCCGCAACTTATCGGAATTTTTTTTATCATTTTAAAAAACAGGAAAAAAGGGGTAATTTATGGATTTTTAGAAAATTTACAGCTAAATTAGAAATATTCACGAAATGACTAATGTTAAGCATGACTTTTACAGTTCGATATACCAGAAGTTTCATATCGATCTAGCGAACCGTTTCTTTGTTTCAAACAGTCATACTTTTGAAAAAAATGAAAGGGTCACGTTTTTTTGAGATTTTTTTTCATAATCATGATTAAAATGGATTTTTTTCAAAAAATTTTTTCAGAGAAGAAAAAGGGTAGTCTTGAAAAAAACTTTCTTAAGTCATTAAAAATTGTTTTTTTAATGCATTTATTGTCGTTTTCGAATATTTCTCATAATTCTGCTTTATTGGTTACTTTGCATACTTTCGATTTAATAGAAAGAGTATAATAGTTAAAAAAGTAAATTAGTGAACATTTCATTTTATTTGTGAAGCCTGAGAATACTTATCGCTTCTAAAAAGAAGGGAAATTTCAGGAAATCTGGTGCAAACCCTATTGAGGGCGTGCTTCTATTTTTGTGAAGTGTAACAATGAAAAAAAATAATAACTAGCTTTTAACTGATAATAAATTCTAATGTCATTATAACATAATAGAATTTAACTAAAAATTTGGAGGTGCGAAGTGCGAGTTATGTCGAACAATAAATACTTTTTTACAAGTGTGTTTCCATCTGAACTGGTTAGTACTGCACTAAGAAATTAAACAAATTTGGGTTGTAAACGAAAAACTGGAACATAAAAACATCGACAACATAAGGTTCTACTAAAAAAATGAATAGGGAGCCCTTTGACTAAGTAAATTAAAAAAGTTTACGGTCAAAAAAGTGATATGATCAGTCACAAAATTAAGGACGCTCTTATCTCTTGTACAAGTCCAGATATCGCCAGCCGGTTTTCCCCATTTATCGAACACAATTTTTTTTTAAATAGGATTTCGGTGAAAACTTTTGTTTAAGTAAAATGACCCTTTCAAGACCAATTTGTTTATTTTAACTATTTGATTCGCACCTGAAAAGTTGTACCAATGTCGCTGTTACGCTCCTTACAGTAAGTTGGGAACCTAAAAATGTAAGAAAACGATTAATTTTCGTTGCGTTTAGTTACTTTATTTATTTTAGTTAATGGCAACTTCCCGTAAAACCAGAAGTCTAAAAGGGACCCACAGTTTTTTAATTCTATTGAAGTTTTAGCACGATCCATCTCGCATTCTTAATTTATTTGATTGCCTTCAAACAATACAACGCTCGATTATGCTTCATAGATTCTTAGGTTTAGAGAATCACAATATTTCATCAAAATATCATCCGATATGGTTTGGCTTTTCAAGGAAATATATTTTACAAAATGTGTTTTAGTACTGAATTTTTCGACGCTCATACATAATTATAATGAATTGTCCCAAACTGCATTTGCTAAACTTTGCCTGATAATAGAACTCCTTAAAATAAGGAAACATTTTCAACAACAAAGATCGGGTAACGCCTAGTTTTGAGATACAGCGTATTCAATTTGAAATTCCTGGAAATAGTATTTAAAATACAGGGTGTCCCAAATTGCACATGCCAATTTGGTGACGGAACATCTCAAAATGAGAAAAAACAAACATTGATCGTGGAAATATTTTTAATATCTTAAAATGTTTGAGAACTTTGATGACACTTAGGGTAATGATATCAACTAGTGACCGACATATACCGTTACTAAGAATTTCAGAATTTTGACACATCTGAATATTTTGTGAGTTGGAAAGACTGCATTTAATTCCGGTTGGTGTTTCTAACGAAGGAGATATTTAAATAAATGTGATTTTTTTTAATTTCAGCATTCTACTGGGTGATTCAGTCATTATGCCATTCATTTTAACCACATATTCGGAGGGCTTCAATAGAGTCAAATTGAAAAACAAAATTTTTAGTCGATCTTTTAAGAGATAGCAAATATTAACTCTCGCTAATTCGGGCGCCCTACTACGCATTGCATTTTCTGGCGGGGAACGCGCCGGAAGACCACAGACCGTTAGAACGTTGAAGAGAAACAGCTGATTTCCTACTCGTCTGGAATTTTTCAATTGATTTCAAAATCAAAGTGCGGGGGATTCTAACTTTGTTAACAAAGTGGACGAATTAGTGTTTTTTTAGCCTCACTGGCATTTTAAATAGATGGGTACCATACTCATACCACTCTTTGAAAAGCAAAAAGTCACCAGGTACTACAAACTGAATAATTAATTGAACATAATATTAAAAACTCATATTCAGTTATAAAACATAGTGACAACGTTAACAATATTAAAAATACTAAATTGTAATAACCTAAAATTCGAAAACAATTATTATCCTTATACATGTGTTTTTGTTGACAAACAAATAATACTTGTTAATATTTAAACTGTAGAAAAATATCTTATTCATTCATGTGTCTAGGTAAAAATATCTGGTTTGTCCTTATTGATCACTACGTAGGTATTAAAAACGCAGTAAAAACTAGGTTCGTAACCGAATAAGGACTTATGGGATTTGAAAATATTTTTTTCAGTGTAAGTATGCATTTTAAAATTGTTTTAATCACGTATTCGTATTCTACTAATTTTTTCCTATCTTCACTTAAAATTAATGACATTATGACTGAATCACCCTGTATATCACAAAAACAACCAATGTTTGTTTGAACTCTGAACAGATGAAGTGTGACGTGCGCAATTTGAGCTACCCTATATATTTAAGACGCCTAAAAATAAACAAATGAGGGGTCTAGGTAAAGCCTTATTATTTCAATTGTTGCGTAATAAGAATTAATGCTAACTAAAAGGGGAATTATGAATTTAAAAAAATTAGATAGGCATTTTTTGTGGAAAAAGGTTCATAATTTGTAGGTTTGGTTTTAAACGAATGAAAGAATGTCACACATGGCCCCTCTAGATTTATCCGCTCCTGAATGCTTCCGGTCCATAGTCATCATTTGGTTTCATAAAGAATAAGCAGTGAAATTCCTGTAAAAATTTTTATTGGATTAGCTTCAGGTTTTATAAATAATAAATAGTTTTCTGGAATTTCAACTTAAACAAGCTTAATCTTGGAGACTAAGGTTTGAAACTATACATATTTTAAA